TTATACCAAACAATTTCCTGTATTTTTGTTAATTTGAAGAAATGCCTTACAAACTGATTTCAGGGTTCACTAGTATCAACTACCAATTTCAGTAATTATATGTGATATGCAATTATATGAATGACTCACGCAGAATTATTTTCCTATTCTTGGTGTAACACCAAAGGCTTGGAGAGCAATAACGCCAATTATTTTAAGGGGTTTGGGAATCAGGAAGAAGCTTCCTCAACATAATGCACTATTGGATTGCAGTATATCCCTGGCAACAATTATGCACTGAAGAGAAAAAGTTAGCAAAAGGATAACTTCTGAAGACACTCTCTGAAATGGAATGCCACGGTGGTCCTAACATAGTAATGAATAGTGGGATGTCAAGAAAGAAGATATAGTCACAACATCAAAAGCTCCTACAATTTTCATTTTAGAGTGAAGACACGTAGCAAAGAACCATTCTGAAAAACATGATGGCCAACCTGATTTTTGACAACTCTTATAGACTATATGTCCTAACAAGAGACCAAATGAAGGGGAAGTACTAAAATTTCACTAAGAATCTATAGGGAATGAGGGACAGTGAATGGATGGAGATGAATATATAATTTTGGAAATAAATACAGTAAACATACAGTTCACAAGAAATACAAAGTAGGCCAATATACTTCCAAATATTCAGATCCTTTGTATCTAAAAGGTGAATAAAACATCCAATCATAAAATCTTAATATTAAACCATGTTTATAAATATCTAAAGAATTGCAAAACTCATTCGTGAATGAGAAGTTATCATCTACGTGGCTGAGATACCAGAGGAGGGGAGAGACAGAACTTAAAAGGAAAAAAGAAGGTGGGGAAGAAAAATCCTTCCTTAGCCCCACTTTCCTTAAGCTACTGCTCTCTCTTCCTCCTTCCCTTCATAGGCATACATCTGGAAGGAGTTCTGTCCCTTCATCAGATCCATTTTTTCCCATGACGCAATATTCAATGTGCTCCCAACTGGCTTTTGTCATCACCTTTGTACCCAACTTGCCATTGCTGATGCCCTCAGTGTCTTCCATAAAGTTCCATGCAAAGGACATCTTTCAGTCTTCCTCTTTCTTGCTAAGAAGCATTCCCCTTTCTTCTTGAAATTGTCTCTTTCTCTTGATTTCTGTGAGACTGCCTTCTTTTCTTTCCTCCTACATTTCAGCCACAGCTTTGCTGTCTCCATCACATATCTTTTCTATAAAATGCTCAAACCCTAGAGTTTTCAAGCCTCTCTAGGTAATTCCTTCCAGTTCTTCAACTACCATTTATATGCTAAATGATCCCAAATTTTATGTACAACTTAAACTTCTCTGAATTCCACATCCATGTATATTCAACTGACTACTCAACTGTGATGTCCCATAGGTACCCCAACCCAACATGATGATCTTCCCACCCAATCTGTTTCCTAAGAGAGCGGCACCGACATCTGCCTATTGCTCAGGCCAGAAACCTGAGTATCAACCTTGGAAACCTCTCTCCTCATCATCTCCTATCACCAATTAATCAGCAGGACTGGTTTTACCTCACAAATGCTCTCAAATGCATCCACATCTCCATCTCCACTTTCAGTGTAAGCTACTACTGTCTCCCATGTGGTTTCCCACATCCAGTTTTACCTTCCATTCAGCCTGAAGCTGAAGTGATTTATTTAGAACACAAATGTGATCATGGCACTCCTCTGCTTAAAGCTTCCATCGCCTACCCCCTTGTTCTTAGCATGAAACCCTTACTTAGACCTTACTGTGCCCTTCAAGGTCCTGCTGCCCTTCATCCATCCATCAGGCACCTCTCTCTTTGCTCTGCACCTTCTATCCATTCTTACAAAGTGTTTCTCTCCACCTGGAGGCCTGGAGGCATGGTGAGTCCTCTACTAGGAAATTCCCTTCTTTCCCATCTTTACCTCTATGCCTAGCTGATGTTTACTTAATCTTCAGATTTCCAAAGAAACCTCTATTTTCTTCAAGCACTACCACCCATACAGATCAGCCCCTGTTAACCTATTTCTCTTCAGGTCACTTGCCACACGTGCAATTAAATGCTCTTTGGTGTAATGACCTGTTTGTTATCTTTCTTGCCTGAGACACAATATCAGTCATGTATATATCTTATTTACTGCTTCACCTCTAGTGTAGCCTTAAACAAAGTAGGCATTTAATAAATGTTTGCCAAATGAATAAATGAACTCCAACATTTACCAGTGCTATTTTAACCCTTATCAAGTAAACTGTGGTAAAAATCAATAGTCGCAATTACAGTCATATCATTAAAACAACCCCACAGATTCAGTAAACAAAATTTGCATCACTTACAAATTATCACTTGCTTATTTTTGTATATGATCACAGGTCTAATTTTTTCAAGGACCAGAACTCATAAGACCAGCTGACAGATAACATGTACAATTGCATAATTTTTTAACAATGTTGCTTCTACGAAGTCAAACATCCTTAGAGTTAACAACAACAATAACAGAATGAAAAGGAAAACCAAATTTGATCAGAATACTGGAAAAAAAAAACTCTTAACATGAGTAACAAAAGATATAATACTAGAAGTCCTCATTATGAAAAATACAAGATCTCAATAATAAACCAACCAGTTTTTCCATCATTTTCTTAACTTGAAGATTTTATCTTTAAATGACAAGGAAATAACATGAAGAAGAAATTTACAAACCATATTTCAGTATGATCCATTCAGAATGGAAAGCAGCTGCCAATTTGTGCTACATATTTATAAGTGAAAACAGTGATACAAACCTATTTTTAATAGGTTGCATTGAAAAGTTATTTAATCTAAATCTCTGGTCTCTTTTCTTGAATTCTTTCCTGTCTCAATAAATAGCAACACCATCCATGTGTTGCTCCAAACTTCAAAACTTAATCCCCTTGCCCTTGATCCCTCTTCAATTCTCCTCCACAGTAAACTATCTGCAAGTTATTTGCTCTATTTTCGAAAAATACCAAGAATATGCTCCTTCCTCTTCACCTCCCTTATCATATCCTGGGTCCAGATCACCAACATCTTTGCCTAGACTACTGCAATAGCCCTCCAACTGGTCTTCCTATGTATGCTTCTGTTCTTCCCACCATATTTAACCCCATAATCTAAATTTAGTTAATCTAAGGCATGGCACCCATAGCTATCCTTTTCAATACAAGTGTTATCACTCCCCTAAAATCCTTATGAGCCTCTCTACATCACCTGGCCCTTACTTAATTCTTTAATTGCATCTTAACTGATTCATCTGCTGTATCACTTTATCCTTTCTTTCAGTTTCTAGAACATCCAAGATAGTTCCCACTTAGGGTCTTTCTACTTGCTATTGCTTCTGGTTGGAATGCTCTGTTCCAGATCCTTCTGTGGTGTTTCCTGATCATCAAGTCTCATGTCAACTGTCAACCTTCCCCCCTTAAGCCCCATAGATTTTCCCTGACCATCTCATCTAAATTAATCCCCAATCAATCTCTATCACATCATCCTGTTTCATTTTCTTCCTATTATATATTACTACCTGAAACTGCCTTCTCTATTTCTATGGTTACCCACTGTCTAAAAAATTTGACCTGTGATCATATACAAAAATAAGCAACTGTCTTCCCCTTAGAACGTGAGCTCCTGAGCACAGAAACCTATTCACCATTCACTATCCAGTACCCAGAAAAGTGCTTGGTACACAATAGGTGCTTACTAAATACTTATCACATGAGTGAATATACTTAACAACAACCAAAGAAGCAGCTCCGAATATAAATAATGACCATAAAATTAAGATTCAAAAAGAGGTATCGCATGAATTTATATCATGTAGGTTTCATATTACACACTTAGACGATATCAGTGGAGCTTATTACATGTTAGAGATCTCAACTATCATCATGAAAAATACATTATAAGTAAGTTTAAATCCATTTGTTATATAAAGCCTTTCAAAATGAGGAATTTTAAATAAATCTGCATTATAAATGGGGAAGGAAAGGCATGTCTTTCCTTCAGCAAAAAATATAATGGTCTCTTTAGGACTGAATCAGAAGCATTTGATGAAATACTTTGGAAAAAAGGGTCAACTTTTAAAAATAAATGCTGACTTTTATGGCAGAATAAAATCTACTGAAAGCTAAGAGGTAACAATAGAAATTGGTTTCCCAAGGGCCAATAAATCATCATGTAGCTAAACAGAGGCTGACAAATTTATAACTTGGAGGTTTTTTGTCTCCAAGGACCAATGGCACATTCTCGACACTTAAGAAAGGTAAGTCTAGAACCCTCCAGATGTCCAAACACCACTGTGTCAGTGTTCTTACTTGCAAGACCCACTAGCTAGTCACATAATTAATGAGAATCATTCAAATCTGTGCCTCTGGGAAATAATAAATTACTAGATCTCATGGACTTCCAGGGTCTTCATGAACAGTATTTGTGAATGTCAAGGGCCCCCTCACAGTATTTGGACTGTTTCCATGAGAGGATAAACTACCTTGGATATTAGTTAAGATTCTAAAAAATAACTAGAAACCATTTACTCCACTGGAGCTATTTACTAAATACCACAAAGCATGAATGCAACCACTGAGATTACTTACAGCAGCAAACAAAAATAGCGGTGGGTACTTTGTCTTCCTGTTAATTGATTACTTTTGTTAGACAACATTGTCTGGAAAAATCTGACTACAATTCTAACTGCAAGCCACAGTAATCATGTCAATATGTGAACTATCTGAATATCTAATTATGAAAAAAAGAAGGCAATTTCACAGTGGAAGTATTATTTTAATTCAAGAAACCAGCAATATTAACTCATTAGTCTGACATATAGCAGATAGCTAAAAAACTTTAATTTGAAAGATAATTATTTTTAGCTGATTAATATGCTTCAAATTAAATTCACTGCTTTTAATGGGCCCATCAACTTGACAACCTGGGAAATTAATAAATTTTGCATGCAGTAATCCTAAGAAATTTATACAGCTGAGCTACACATCATTACAAGGATTACCTTCACAGTAGGCATTGTCCTCTCGAAGAGCCCTAAAACCATCTCGACAGCTACAAACAGCCCTGTCATTCAGATTTCTGCAGACAGAATTCTCCATGCAGTTATGTCTTTCAGAACAAAAGTCATAACCTACAAGAAAAAAGAAACTTATTAAGGTAAATGAAACTATGATTGATTTAATCTTGCCAACTAAATACTCTTTGATTTAGAAGGTATTTTTCCCTAAATTATTTTTAATTTTTTATTGTTATGTTAATCACCATACATTACATCATCAGTTTTTGATCCAATGCTAGAGAACCACATGCTATGTGTACTAAAAGTGGTTCTTCATGTTTAACTCAGTTGTTTCCTACTTCAAGTTAATTCTGTCTTCTTTGTTTCCGACTTTATGTTTTCTAGTCCCTGATATTTGAATTATAGTCCTCCAAATATCTGAAACAAAGATTCTTGAGTCCAAAACGGAGATTTACAATATAAAAGATAACCCAGTGAGAAGGTAATATGAGAACTAGAGGTTGAACATTATCAATACCTATGGATAGTACAGACCAGGTCAGATGAAATATGGACATTGCATATTTAAGAAATAAAAGAGCCTGACATCCTTAAAAAAAACTATAAATGTGCTAACAAATGAAAATTACATCACTATAATCTAATTGTCTCTGGAAACCTGCATAGCATTAGATGTCCACTCAAAAGAAGGGAAAAAATTATGAATTACACAGATTTCAGATTCCAGAAGCTTTATGAGAGGATGGAAAAGTGGAACATTTTATGAACAGTGGTGCCAGTCATGTGTAATTCCTCAGGATCTCTTCTGCCTGTGTGAATCCCTTGTTCAAAGATCATCTAAAATGCTGAAATGAAAAGCTTAAAACTGGAATCCATATTGAATGGAAATTGCATGATTATATATCATTCAAACAATTTTCAAATTGCCTGATGCATAAGTTATCTGTCTAGTTTTACATCACCTAATGAATTATAATTTCAGTCCATGTGTAAAAGAAAAGAGGACTAGAGAAATGTATTTCATGTCGCTCAGAATAAACTCATCTGCCTATAGCCAAGGAAAGACTTTCACTTGAGCAAATCATGAAGATGGAAGTTCTAAATTGGCCCATCTTACTTGTAAGCAAATTACTGGAGAACGCTGTGATTTAGTGGAAGGGTAGACTGAACTATACCGCGACTAGCAGGCATGCTCTTACAGCATGATGGTTGGTGTCCATTCTGATTGGCTGGTGCCCATAATGACTCTTTTGAATATCACCCCAGAGCTAAAGCATATGTCCCATGAAGTGCAACTACCATGGATAGTAAAAAGTGGTGTGGACAACTTAATAAGCCTTAAGAAGGATGATGTTCTCAAAATTCTGTGATGGCCTTAAATAGGGCAAGAAAAAATAAAATGAATTATGACATCTACAGAAATAAAATAGAACAGAGGTGTATATGAAGGACAGAACAATATATAGTCAATAACAGCATTTAAGTCACTTGATGACTATGTTTTCTTAACACGATTCTTCACAATCTACTTTCTCACGTGGAAGGCCAAACAAGTAAAAGGTTCATTCTTAAGAAGAGGAAAAGTTAAAAATATTTTCTCCTAGAGTCCTTTCCTTCCTTTCTTCTTCAAGTAGCTAAATTGAGACCATATTTCTTAAAATGTATCCTATTGTCTTTTTACAATGTCTGAGAAGAAAGCATTTCAGCGAAAAAGTCATCTTCATTTTCTACCCAATAGCTCAGCACCTCACCAACCTATATGAAAAGTCTCCAAAAAAAAAATTTCACATTTATTCGAAAACTGAACGAAGTTACTATAAAAACTGGCCCACTCCTTTAAGATATACACAGAATCAAGAGATCACGTTCTAACATACCGCTAAATCTCTGTATAATTGCACCTGCAATGTTTCAAACAACTCCTAGAGAGCTGTGACTAAGGCCAGGTACTGTCCTGAGGCATTTTTATTTTTCTTTCCTAAGTTTTTATTTTTCAAAACTTTCAATTTGTCACTTCGCTGCATTTTCTCTTTTCTCATTTTTCAGACTTCACCCAATCTATGCTATCAAAGTCAATGGTATACAGTCCACTTTTATTACGGTCCCTTTCCAGTTCTGCCTAAGTAATGCTCAGACCTCTTATCTCAGGATCGAATATCACACACACATTCACCATACAGCGCTAATTGCTGTGAGAATTTTCCCGCTGTAAGATAACAATGTGATCCCACTTTGACTGTTTTAGGTTCAGCAAGGGAGTGTTTTACTTTTTATCAGATGGGTTTTTTTTTTTAAATTGACCCAGAGACTTGAAAGCTAAATATTTTGTCAATCAAATTCTAATTTACACTAAACAATGTCAGATAGCTATTTTGATTTATTTTCTCAACAAATAAGTTAACTCTATTCATTGTTTTACTGCTTAGATACAAAATGCCAGTGTCAAAAGACTATTGACAGGTAGAAAATTCTAACTCAATTAAAGTGGGTTGTTTCCAACCTATAGGTAATAACTTCAAAAACTCAGAGTATGAGTTGGATATCCCTATTACCTTCATACTTGCATCTCTAGTCAGAGGTGCTTGGCTTTTGAAGTTGAAAGACCTGGATTTACATTCAATCTCTATTACTTACTGGCCGTGTAAATTACTAGTTGTGTAAGTTAATTAACCTTTCTAAACCTTAAGGTTTTCTCACCTGTAAGAGTAAGATAATATCTAGCTCACCAAAATGTAAATTTCTAATCAGATCATCTATGTAAAAGCATAATTGTATAGGATTTGTTAATAATTAAAGCAATTAGAGTATTACGAATAAGCCTAAACTAAATATGCTGAGGCATCTATCACAGAAGAAAATTCAAGTATTTATTATAGACGGATGGATCTAATCCAATCTAATACAATCTAGCCTTTGTTTCCCACTTTGGATTTTAACTGCAAGGATACCAAGTTTTCTATTCCTTTTATAAGTTTTGCAAATTTACATGAAGTTGTGTGTCTTGTTAAGTATAGCTCTTTCCATAAAATATTAATATGTATATCTCTACAAGTAGGTAAGTAGAAAAGGTGGATACAACAGATTATGAGTAAAAACAATATACATAAAGGTTATACATAATCATCAGGAGAAAAGGGGCACCTGGGTGGCTCAGTCGGTTAAGCGGCCAACTCTTGATTTTGGCTCAGGTCATGATCTCAGGGTCATGAGATCAAGCCCCACATGGGGCTTCGCACTCAGCATGGGGTCTGCTCCCTCTTCCTCTGCTCCTCCCCCCACTCATGCTCTCTCCTTTCTCTCTCTCTCTCTCCTCGCATAAATAAATAAATAAAATCTTTAAAAAAAAATCAGGAGAAGGAGAATAAATAACTTTGAGGTGAATATTTGTTGGTTTTTGTCCACAAGCATCTATTCTTCCTTTTTCTGGGGGAAAAAAAAACAACCTAGTCATACTTTGGATGAACCAGTTCCGGTGGGGATGAAGCCCCACCGGAAAATCAATGCATCCCACTAGCCTAGACACAATAATTTTTTCAGGTCTGGGTATCTGATCCAGTTCGGGCCAATGAAGATGATTAAAATTCAATTATGGGACTTTTGTTTAACTCCTGAGGACACTGAACATTTTTTCTTCATCTACTTGAGTATCATAATGATGCGAGCATAAGAATGTCAGAGGTCTAGCTGAAAACACATAGAGTCTGAAAATAAAGCCACTTCTGAGGAGGCAAACTGAGATCCATCGAGGCCAAGGGGCAGGATTTGATAGCTGTATAAAGCTGCTTATGGGAGGCTTATGTTCCATTTTTTGCTTATATCAGTTGGATTGGGTGTTTTATTACTTGCACCTAAAAGAATACTAACTTATTTAGGTATTATTTGCAGGATGATGGATAATCCTGATTTTTCCCAAATGGTTCATGTGCATGGATGTATATTTTTTTAAAAAGTACTAATTGCGATGGAATTCTTTTAATGTGTATTAAAAAATAGATGAATCTAACAAATAATGCCATTATTTTGTGGCTAGCATTATTTGGAACGAAACTAAATTTTTAAAAAATGAGCGACTAACAGTGATATAAAAATTAAATAATGTTATTAGTGATACATAAATAACAAAAATCGTGAAGGTATAATTGAATAAGGTGGGAAACTATGGATTATCCAGAAGTTGAGAGAAGACTATACCCACTGAACCTTCTACATATAGATGTCGCTACTACTTATAATTATAGGCCCGGATGAAGTAAGTGCTAAATTAAAGTGGGGCATCCAGTGAATAGGACTTACTGGTATTATAAACAGAGAAAGGAGTTGCCGAGGGATGAGGAGAAGGGAAGGGCTACAAATATGAAAACTCTATCACATCCTTTCTGTATCTTTCTAAGTCAGAGTCCTCACTGTATCACTGAGTGTCTGTCATGTTGTAATTTGTTACAAGCTTCCTTGAAGGGGCTCTCAAACATGAACAAAGTGAAAAGAACATTCCTGCTACACAGCTTCTGGGCTACTATGACACAGGATGGGCAGCTGCAGAGTACCTAGAAAACAGTCTTGGTAGGATTAGATTTGGAGCCAAGAGATTTGGGGCCTTATTTCGGTGCACAGCTTTGCTTCTAGCACTGGCCAAGGCCTCCAGTGGAAAGGTCAACACTTTCTTCTCATGCTCTGTCCTCAGGGAATATTTAATAACTGTTTTTGAAGAACTTACTTTTTCAGATGTGAACACAGCATCCTGAGCACTAGGCAGACAGGCCTGGAAACTAGAGGCCAATTATATTACAAATGCATTTGTCACAACATATGTGTAGGTGTTAACTCAAAATTTAAGCCTCCAGAACTTGACTCTTTTTAGTTTAAGCACCAGAGAATGCCAGGAAACTCATTTGTTTATCCTATATACTTGAAATCAGAAATAAAGCAATCTTTATTATAAATGGTGCTAATTGTTTCAAGATGAACCAACTTGTTCAATTTCAGTTCCAGTACTGTCTAAGCTAGTACTTCTCAATCCTGGCTGTGTAAAAAAATTTATCAGAGAGTTTTTTATTTGTTCATTTTGTTTTTTAATGGTGATACCATGGCTCCATCTCCTAGCAATTAGATCA